TCCATTCATCAGCTCACAACTACCCACAACTCCAGTTCCAGAGGATCTGAGCATCTTCTAACCTGTGCAGGCATCAGACACATATATAATACATATACACACATACAAGTGAACCTTCATATACATAAAATAAATAAAAGTCTAAGTGATTATTTTGTTGGATAACTTGGCAATGACAATTAGCATTTAAACTATGCACATTATTTTGTGCTAGAAAAATGTAGACTGTTGATCAAAGTTTCAAAAATGGTTATATCTAAAGAAGTTCTTCTAAAAGTGTTTCTTTGTTTTATGAGTAAATGCCTGAGTATCAGTGTGTGCACCACATTCATTCAAAACTCCATGACAGTCAGAGGGTGTTAAGTCCTCTGGGGCTGGAGCGATACCTAGTTGTGAGCTTGGTCCTAAATATTGAGCCAGTTCTCCAGCCTTAAGACATCTTTGTAGGTTAATACTTCTAACACATGAGATTAGTGTGTGCACATGTTTGTGCATGTACAGGGATGGGGTGTGTGTCCAAACGGGCATCTGTGGAGGTCAGAGACTGACATTGGCCCCATTGTACTTCACCTTACTCTTTTGAAGGGCAGTTTCTCACTGAACCGGGAGTTCATTGGTTGGCTAGACTGGTTGGCTAACATAATTATGAGCTTTTTCTGTCTCTATTTTGTCCTCCCACCCACCGTGCCTGTGCTGGAATTATGGGCATGTGCAGCTATCTAAGTCTCTTTTTTTTTTATTTTTAAAGTAAATATTTTTTTTATTTAATTTATTATTTTACATGTCGATCCCAGTTCCCCCTCCCTCCCTCTAAGCCTCTTTATAAGGGTGCTGGGACTCCAAACTCAGGTCCTTATGCTTGCACCCCATTCTGTTTGCCCACTGAGTGATCTCCCCAGCTACACATGAGATTTTAACAAGTAAAGCATTTACGTAGGCTTGTAGTTAACCTCATGATAGCTCAAGTCCAAAATGAACTAAATATCTGGGGACTGATAAAAGGGAATAATAAGCAATAGGTGGGTGACTGGATTAGATGGCATGTGATATTTAATTCCATTCTAAATCCATCACATTGGTATAATACAAAACAAACAAACAAACCCCAGAGACTGATATCCGTGTTCAAGAAGATTAGAAAAGTGAAGTAGTCGGCCACTACCTCTTAGCCCTACCTCAAGCTGAAAGGGCTGATCCTGCTTTGATCCTGCTTTATCCTGCTGCCTCTCCTCAGCATGACTGGAGAATCCTGAGACTGAATGTCTTCCTATTCTCATTGATGCTAGAGAATGAATGCCTGACACTGACTACTGAAGACCCTGCTTCTGTCTTTTATACCTCTCTAGGTGTGATCCCAGGTGCTGAGATCATCTTTGTGTGAGTTGTTTCTTTTTAGGACTGGACCAATATTGTGTAGATCTGGATAGCCTTGAACTCACAAAGATTTATCTTTTAGTCCTAAATCCTAGGATTAAAGGTGTGCACCACCACCTCCTAAATTCTGGCTGCTGGGATTAATGGTGTGTATCACCACTGCCTGATCTCTACAGCTTGAGGCTGACTTTGCTTCCTGAATCCTCAGGCAAGCTTTAATAAATCACAAATAATATATCACCAGACACTGGGGTATTAAATGATTCTTTAACTAGTTACATGGTTCAGTGGTTAAGGGTGCCTGCCACCAGGCCTCATGACCTAATGACCTGAATTTGATACCCAGGACCCATATGGTAGAAGGAGAGAACCATCTCCTACAAGTTGTCTTTTGACCTCCACATGCAGGCCAGGCGTTGGTGGCACACACCTTTAATCCCAGCACTTGGGAGGCAGAAGCAGGCAGATCTTTGAGTTCGAGGCCAGCCTGGTCTACAGAGCTAGTTAGTTCCAGGACAGGCTCCAAAACAATACAGAAACCCTGTCTCAAAAAAACAAACAACAACAACAACAAAAAAGTTTTCCTAGAACCCAACTGTAAAGCATTTTCTTAATCATGATTGATGGAGAAGAGTCCAGCCCATTGTGGGTGGTGCCATTCTTGGTCTGGGCTACTGGTCCTGTGTTCTATAAGAAAGCCATCAGAGCAAGCCATGGGAAGCAATCCACAAAGCAGCACCCCTCCATGACCTGCACCATGACCTGCCTCCTGGTCCCTGCCCGGTTTGAGTTCCTGTCCTGACTTCCTTCAATGGTGTACTATGACGTGGAAGTATAAGTCATATAAACCCTATCCTCCCCAAATTGTTTCTGGTCATGGTATTTTTAGCACAGCAAGAGAAACCCTAACTAGGACAGAAATTGGCATCAAGATAATGGGGTATTGCTGAAGCAAATGTGACCGTGTTTTGGGGAGGACTGCGGAATGCCTTTGGAACTTTGAGCTGGAAAATCCACAGAGTGTTCAAAGCTTTGGTGAGCTGTTCTGGGGAAGCCTGGAAGAAACTAGTGTTAAGAGAAATGCAGACAATGAAGGCCTGGTTTGTGATGTTCCGGGGGGAAGTTTGAGAGTCACTTAAGACTATTGGGACACTTGCATATTTACTATTTTGAATTAAAATTAAATGATTCTGGTCATCTGAGGCTGAAGAGTCAGCTATTGTAACAGGAAACCAGCACCACTGAAGTGAAACCTTTGCTTTACTGGGACAATTGATGCTGGCTCGCTGGTGCTGAGAAAACATGGGTAATTAAGAAGAGACCAGCATCACTGAGGCGAAATCTTCTGGAAGCGTTTCCTGAGAGTCAGCATACAGAAGCTGTGTCCCAGAGGCCGCCAAGGTTGTACCTCACTCTGGCAGCTGAACTTGGTAGTGTAAGAGTCACCCAGGTGGTGCTGGTTTTAAAGGCATGAAGTAGTCATGGATAGCAGCTGAGGATTGGCACTGTGAGAGGCCAGGAGAGGCCATTGTGAAGGTGTAGCCTCAGCGACAAGTAAAGTCCCAGGACTGAAGGGATCACATAGAGAAGTTGAAGTTTGGAGCCATGAAGAGAACCCAGGAGAGTCTAATGGTCAAATTGCAGCCCAGTTGCAGCTGAACACCCAGCAGTGTGGAGATGCCAGCACCACAGGGCAATGGCCATGAAAGCAGCAGCAGTGGAGTTTAGAAGACAGCAGTGTGTGCTGCAGAGGGCAGAGCCAGAGAAGAGACCCCAGCCCTTGGGAGGAGCCCAGAAGATGTAAGTGAATCCTCAAGTCTTGGAGCTTGGTTTTGCTTCCTTCAGATGGTACCTTGGTTGTTCCCTCTTGAAGTGAGAAATTATTTCATTTAATTTTGATTTTTTAGGAGCCAACAGTTGAGACACTTGAAAGACACTTTTAAAGAGATTTTGGAATTTTATGAAGACTTTGGATTTGCAAAGAGATTAAATATTTTAAAGATTCTGAATGCTTTAAAGAGACAGACTTTTTAGGTTATTATTAATAACTATGGAACTTTTAAAACTTGAAATGTTTTAATATTGTTATGTTGGTATTCACATGTGTTCTCAGAAATGAACAAGAAAGGAAAAGTTATGGCTTAATAGTAATGTGTCTCCGTGTCAAGTTGACAAGGTGGCAATTGTGCTGTCTACTTTTATGTCAACTTGACCTGAGCTAGAATCATCTGAAAGGAGGGAACTTCAATTGAGAAAGAAAATGCCTCCATATGATTCAGCTGTAGGGCAATTTCTTAATTAGTGATTGGTAGGCTGTTGGTCCTGTGTATAAATAATATATCGCCACAATTGAGTTCTATAAGAAAGCAGGCTGAGCAAGCCATGATGAGCAAGCCAGTAAGCAGCAACCTCTGCATCAGCTCCTGCCTCCTGGTTCCTTCAATGTATAAGTCAGATAAACCCTTTCCTCCCCAACTTGATTTTGGTCATGGTGTTTCCTCATAATAACAGGAACTCTAACTAGGACAGCTATCAACGGAAGCTTCTAAATAAGGAAGGAAAGTCAGTAAAGAGGAGATGTTGGTGTGATTAACTTGTCAGTTTGTAAAGTGAAAAATGGGAAAATATCAAGTTAGGAGGTCAGCGCAGACTATATACACATTAAGATTCTGAAGGAGAAATCACAACATGAAGATAGATGTTTATTTCATTGCCACAGTCTTGAAAAACTAATTCGTCTTAACATTTTTATTCTTAGAGTTCTTGATATCCACAGTGCATGATGTGTTTGTTTTGTATTATTCAATGTTTGTTTGTTTGTTTGTTTGGGCAGAGATTAAACCAAGATAGAGTAAGCACTCTATCAGTGTAGTATTGGTGTTTTGAGATAGGTTTATGTAGTTGAGGCTGACTTCAGACTTGTGGCAATCCTCCTGCCTCAGCCTTACAAAGGCTGGAAACTAAGATGTGAACCATCGCAGCTTTGGTTTTAGTATCAATGTTCTCTCTCTAACCCAACTCTACTGATGTCTTTTATCTGGGAGCTGCCATTATACCAGTTTCCCAGTGGGTACAAAATACTAAAAGTGCTTAACATAATAAACATTCAGTTTTCTGTCTACTTTCAATAAATAATTTGTATGCTTATTTTTCCTCTGTGGAATAATACGTTTATCTAAAAAGGACATGAACCTTGCACCCAGTTTATTCAGGAATTAGCCAAGCCAAAATCAAATGCCTTTAGCTTTACAATAACAAAAACAGAAGATTCTTTTTATGTACAATGCAACATTCATGAACTATAGTGTTACAGCTTGGTGGGTAAAAGTGCTGGCTGCTAGGCCTAGTCACCTGAGCTTGATCCCTGAGACCCACATGGTGGCGAGAGAAGTGACTCCTTCAAGTCACCCATCAACATCTGCTTGCACACACACATACACTACATATAAAACTATTACAGTGTTCATTCAAAAGCTCTATAGAATCCACTTTAGAGCTGTATGAATTTAGGCTGTTTCACCATGTTGAATTCTAATGAAAAGTATAATATATTTATATAACTCTAAAAATCATACTTGTGGTTTTCATCTTTGCTTGATAGTGGTTTAGTAGTGTCCTTTCCTTACCTATAAGGTTGTACTTTAACCCCTTGGTTTTGACATTCCAGCGCTTTCTTAACAACAGCTTCATTTTCTTCTGTATAAACAGAACACGTGCAGTAAACAACTGCTTGAGCTTTAGCAACTGTATTGAAAGAAGATACAATCAATATGGCGACCCAATGTAAATTTGCTGTTTCCAGACACATTTGTTCCTAGGGCATACCACCAGATAGTGATGGAAATGATCTCTACAGTTGCTTGAATATCTCCCCTTTATTTTATAATTAATAAATTATAAAATTTGTGTGTGCGTGTGCTCACCATGGCACACTTGTGGAGGTCAGAGGACATTGTGGAAACTGATTCTTTCCTTCCCCCCATGGGAGGACCAGGCATCAAACCCAATTCTTCAATCCCAGAAGCAAGTGCCCTTCCCTGCTGAGACCCCTCACTGCCCCCCATGAATGGCTGTCCTTTACAACAGAGCTTGTATTAGTACTGTAAGCAGTAACCAGTAAGTACATTCAGCTCAACTGTACAAAGAAATGAGAACATGTACACTGTGATCAACCTAGTTCCACACAGGAAGAAATAAACACAGCTCATTGTCATATCACCTAATTCGATTAAGGAACTCTAGAAATAGACATTGATGAGAATCGTAATTCTCTTTCTTGCTGCTATGTGAGGCTGGGAAAGTTACTCAGTCTCAGATCTCACCATACAACAAGGGAATTGCTGACCTGTGATTCACTCACTCATTCATACTGAATGAGCACCTGAGCTTTGAGATCATCAATGAAAAACAGAAAGGTTACAGAGAGTGAGGAGAGGGGTAGGTGACGAAGTTAGAAAATGTAGTCTGGGGATGGAGAGGTGGCTCAGCGCTTAAGAACACTTTCTGTACAGAGTTTTACACCACGACATGGACTGTGTTTTTTGCATTGCTTGAAACACATTGATTTTAACAATTTCATTCCACCTTTGTCGAGACTGTAGAGGACTGTAGGAAGACAAACTAAAGCCATCCAGTTAATCGTAGTATAAGGTGTTCATGTGGGCAATAGTGAAGACAGTGGAGGTGGCTACTCCCAACATATATATAGAAATGCAACTTTCTTGGAGGTCTACTGATACTATGTTACTGAAATGACAGTGGCAGGGGCAGGGCGGGGGGGAGGGGGTGAGGGCTGCAGAACTCCCATTTTCCACCTTTGAACTCTGAGAAGCTGCAATATGGGGATTCTTGTTCATTCTTGTTCTGGTGAACACAGTGGGAGAGGAAGACAGACAAGAAGACGAGAGTAAAGCATATATTTCTAACACTTACTAAATTTATTAAAACGAGCATCTTATTTGAAGACACTAAGATTGGAATTTTGCTTGTGGTCCACATATTATTGCTTTATTCTAATAGATAAATGAAGTATGTATGCATGACTCAGAGATTAACCCTGTACTTTAATAAACCAGTACTAATGGTGAACTTACATTTCATTGCATGTGTTAGCTGTTCATACTGCTGCTGAGCCAGAATCTCGAGTTTGCTTTTTGGTGAACCACCTTGAGAAAGATCTTGAAGTAACCCTGTATCTAAATTTTGAAAAGTAAACATAATCTTTTAAATACAGCACTACAGGTGCCTTTTTATATATTGCTGTTGTCACATTATTTTTCAATCAACTATCTAAAATGAATTTTCATAGAAACTTCCTAGTAATGCAATTGATAATATTAAAATATTGACTTGAAATTAAAATATCAATAAAGGTGATGATGTCTAGTTTTATTACTGCTTTTCAAAAGGAATACAAGAAAACACTTAATATTAGCTTTCTCCAAGTTTCTATGAAATAGTTAATCAAAGAGCTATACATAAGTCATTTACACACTAAATACAACTAATTTGAAGAGCAATACAAAAAATAAAAACTAAGATTTATTCTCCAATATCGAAATTGGTGAATTATAGTCTCCAAGTTTCATTAATTTAGAAATCAGAACACCAACCTTCATGTTCATTTAAGATAAATTCAACTGGGTTACTAACACCTAGTCCTGAACAGCGAGGCAGCAGCAGAATGACCTTGACATTCTGTAATCTATGGTCCTTTGATTCAATGCTGACAAATGTCTCATGAAGTATCTCAATATCTGGGAAGGAAAAGTCGCAACAAAACTCATCTTAAACATTAAAAACTGAATGCAGCATGTGACTGTAGCTCTTTACTGTTCATTTCCAAATCCTCAGCCCCACAAAAACTAAACACAATGCAATTAGAAGAGGAAATTGTTGGTGGGCGGTGGTGGCACATGCCTTTGATCCCAGCACTCGGGAGGCAGAGACAGGTGGATCTTTGCCAGTTTGAAACCAGCCTGGTCTACAAAATGAGGCTGGCTCCAAAGGACAGGCTCCAAAGCTGCAGAGAAACCCCCATCTCAAAAAACAATCAGGAGGGAAGGAGGGAGGAAGAGAGGGAGGGAGAGGGAGAGGGAGGGAGGGAGGGAGGAAGGGAGGGAGGGAGGGAGGGAGGGAAAGAAGGAAGGAGGAACAAGAACTTTCTCTATTAGCCTACGAACATCCAAAAGGCAGTCAAGCAATTTTCTTTAAGATTGAGTTTTGACTATGTGGATGTATGCGGGTATGTCATGTGTGTGGGTCTCATGGTGCCTAGAAGAAGGTATCAATCCTGAAACTAAGATTATAGGCTGGAGTATGTAGCCCAGTTTGGGTGGTCAGAACTGTTCAGGTCTTTGGCAAGTGTGGTACATGTTCTTAATCACAAAGCCAATTCTCCTGCCCCCTTTTTTTTAATTAAAAAAATAGATTTATGCATATGAGTGTTTTGCCTCCATGTGCATATGTGCACCACATATATGCCTAGAGGTCAGAAGAGGGTGTTGGATCTCCTCAAACTGGAGGTGCAGATGGTTGTAACATATACCGTGTAGGTATCAGATATCAAACCTGGGTCTTCTGTAACAGCAACAAGTGCTTTTACCACTGAGCCAACTCTCTAGCCACAAATCCCTTTTATTAAAGATTTATTTGCAAATATTGTTTATTTATCCTGACTGCTCTATGAGGTGTGTGTGTTGTTAGTTTTTATTATCCACTTGGCACAACCTAGAGTCACCTGGTTAGGGGGACCGTCAATTAATCAATTGCCTCAAGTAGATTGGACTATGAGTATGCTTTGGGCATCTTCCTGACTGATGTAAGACTGATGTAAGAAGACCCAGACCACTGTGGGTGGCACCATCCCTAGGCAAGTGGACCTAGCTGAGCCTGAACCAGTAAGCAGCCTTCCTCTATGGTTCCCGCCTCCAAATTCCTGCCTTGAGTTCCTTTCCTGCCTTGCCTTTCCTCAAGGATGGATTATTGCCTGGAAGTGTAAGCTAAATAGACCCGTTCCTCCCCAAATTGCTTTTTGTCAGAGTGTTTTATCACAGCAACAGAAATCACAATAAAAAGTCGGACACCTGGCATTTGGTAGTATGATACAGGAAGATCAAGGGTTTAAGGACTGCCTGGTTGCACACGTGTGTATGTGTTTGTCTGTGTGTATGTGTGTGTGTGTGTGTGTGTCTGTGTGTGTGTACTTTTCAAGCATTTATCCCTCTCATACTGTAAGTTTCATAAGTAAAACTTTGTTTCACTGCTGTATTCACAAAACAAAACAGAATTAATGCCATGACCTCTAAGACAGTGATAGGCAGATAGATACACAACATATATCTCTAAAATATTTGTTGAATAAACCATTAAAATTTTGTAAATAGTTCCTATTATTAATATTGCTCTTCTAAATCTCATTAGCACTACTTGTCTTAAAAAATTAGTATCTAAAGGGCTAGAGAGATGGCTCAGAGGTTAAGAGCACTGGCTGCTCTTCCAGAGGTCCTGAGTTCAATTCCCAGCAACTGCATGGTAGCTCACAACCATCTATAATGAGAACTCATGCCCTCTTCTGGTGTGCAGGAATATATATGGAGACAGAACACTGTATATGTAATAAGTAAATAAAATCTTTTAAAAAATAAAAAATTTAGTATCTATTCTATATTAGTTAAAAGATAAATATCATTTATGTTGTTAGGTATGGTAATAGTTTATTCTATGTAAAATTCCATTAGATAAATACTGAAGTGGTTTCTAGTTTGAGGCTATGGAAAGTAACATGTTATAGTTTAGCTGTAGTCTGTCACCAACAAGTTTATGTGTTAGAAGCTTGGTCCTCACTGTGGCAGTATTTAAGGGAAAAAACAGAATCTTCAGGAGATGAGGTTCATGGCAGGTAATTAGATGGTTTTGTATGCTGCTCCCAGAAGAAACCGATGAGGGTCTTATTGAGTGAATTAATTCCCATGAGAGGAGACTGTTTAAGACAGCATAACTGGCTTTCTCTGGTCTCTGGCTTTCTGTTCTCACTATGTGCTCTCTTCTTGTACATGGTTCCACAGTTCTGCCATCTGCCATGACAGAGACTCCCTTAATATAGGTGACAATGGTGTGACTGGGACAATATATGAGGCCACTGGCAGTGGATCCAAAATCTAACACTAATGCACATTCTATATGGAGAGCCCATTCTATATGGAGAGATAGCTTGCTCAGAATAGACATGGGGGTAGGGGGTGGGGGGATGCCTTGGTCCTGCCTCAACTAGATGATGGGACAGATTTAGTAGACTTCCTATAGGAGGTCTTACCCTCTCCGTGAAGCAGATGGGAGAAGGGGGGAGTGGAGGGAGTGGGAGGGAAGAAGGAAGGGGGAACTGGGATTGGAATGTAAAAAATAAATTAATAAAAAATAATTTATAATTTCTGATGTCCAGTTAATAAATCTTCTATGAACAGTGTGTTCTACATTCCTTTGAAGAACTCTTAAATAGACTCCCCAGTTTATGAAGGATTTTTCCTATAACCTATTCTAGGAGACTCTAGATGAAATGAAGAATCAGTTTGTCTTCTCGCATAGTTTATCAACAAGATCACTTATTCCACAGTGTTGCCTTAGTCATAACAGAAGCACTGTATGTGTAGGCCTTGTCTAGACTCTATCTGCCCATTGGTGTTATTTATCCACCTTTACTCTGCAGCCATTGTTGAGGATATTTACATATTACCAACTTTTCTTGTGAAGTAATCTTCCCCCTTTGTTTTTCACCTTCAGTGTATTCTGTTATGTTTGGCCCTCTTTTTTGAGATTTTTTTTTTTTTAAATTTATAACTACGTGTGTAGGGGGCTTGTGCATGTATGTGTAGATGTATGCCTTCTCAGCCTGAAATTCTTCTCAATTCTTTTTCTCTCTTCTTTTTCCTTCTGTTTGGTAATGGAGATCAAACCCAGGGTCACACATGCTATGCACATGCTCCCCTTACTGGGCTCCCTCAACCTATTTATTTCCTAATTGCACATACTGCATTTTTGTATTTCTAGAATCTTCTTTTGGCTTGTACTAGTGTTTAAAGTTCATAGCTTACCATTAGTCTCTTCAGTTACTTGTTGCTAGCTATGCCTTGTCTTTGCTCTCAGAAGCTATGCTGAGACACCTACAGTATTAACTTAGTATATGCAGGTTGCTAGCATAGCTGAGCAACTCATAACCATTAGTCCTAGTTAAACTCCACAGCTGACAGATCCAATATCTGAATTCTCCGTGGGCCTCAAACCGGTCTAGTGTCCTCTCAGAGACATATCTATCATTTCTCAGGTTTAGGGCTAAAATAATATAGTCTCTTTTCAGTTTAGAATTTTTGAGTCGTATATTTCCTTCCTTTGTCTATTTTTAACTGAGCACTAGACATTGCATTTGGAAATGTTTAGGCGATAACTTGAAACTTGACATTTTATTTTTTTTTTCAGAGAGAAGTTACTTTTGCTTCTAGCAGGTAGAGTGGACCCACTGAAGACTGGTTACTCTAAGTCCAGGGTCACCTTAATTCAGTTAGAAATTAAGATGGAAGACATTCAGAATTCAATTTGCTAGATAACCAAGTATACCAGGGTATACTTATGTGTTCCAAATGAGATCCAAGATTTCCAGGCTCCCTTTCCTAGTCAAGCCTGGAATTATATACTTTTTGTTTCTCTGGCTCTGTACCATTTCGTTTACTATTTCAGCCTCACTGCACCTCTAGGAAAATATGGTCTTCTCGTGATCCAATGAGAACTTCAAAAACAGGAGCATAAAAGACTTCGTTTCTATTCCCTCACATTTCCCTTGTCATTAGCATGTACATTATATCTTCTTATCTGTTAGATGATGAGCCTTGAATCAGATGTTACCATGTCAGGAGAAAAGCAAACTCAATCCCAAAATATCTAGGTGCTAATTACTTTAACCTAGAGCTATTAGCCCAATATTAAACAGCCTGATGCAGACTTGTGGGGATTATAAAAGGACAGTTCACATAGCTTATATTACAAAAACAGTACATTCAAATACTTTTAATATTTCTAAAATTCTTTTAGAACAATAATCATCAAATAATATTTGCACATACTTTGACATCCCATTTTTGTAAAAAGTTTCTTCAGTTCAGGGTCCTTATCTTGTGATTGTATTCCGCATACAAATATTTTTGATGTATTATTATTGGTTAAGACTGACATGTGGGCAACTGTGTACCATGAGCCCATGTTGACCATTAAGATATCATCATCCATATTTAATAAAGCTTTTACAGAGTGGACAGCAAGACTTCGAGATTTGTCCTACAGAGAACGATATGGTTAGAATTTCGAAGTGTGTAATAGAAAAATAAGTTGGCTTATTTCTATTTTAAATGAAAATAAGCACTGACAGGAATTCTGAAAAGATACTTGATCCATTTTAGCAAAGCATCTTAACTATATGTTTAAATGAACGTTAACAAAGATAACTGGTAAACATTTAAAACAAATGGCTTATTCATTTAACCTAAATCATGTCTATCATTTATTCTCTGTATAGTGACAAACCAATTCTAAAAGTCTCAAAATATGATTTATAGATCATGATGGCTTGGCTTCCATTCTTTTGTGTTGCAAATGTTTCTAATTATGTGGCTATGTGCAGATCTGGCATGTGAATGTAGTGCCTACAGAGGCCAGAAGGTGGCGTCAGGGCCTCTGGAGCCAGAGTTAGAGGCAGTTGTGAGAAGCTGTGCTCTCTTAAACCATGGGCCATCATCTCTCCAGTCCCTTAGCTTCCATTCTTGCCCCATTCGTGAAAGCCCATTCACCCACTACTACCATTTTTAACTCCCAATGGCACTATCATCCAAACTGCTGCCAGCTCAGATGAACGCTGGGATGTTTGAGAAAATGATACAAGGAGAACTGGGCAGAAACGACGAGAGTCTATCCGGGGATTGGGTGTGGGAGTTGGGCATATAAACCCATAATCCCAGCACTTGGGAGGCTGAGGCTGGAGGACTGCCATGAGTCTGATGTTAGCCTGAGCAAGATAAAGAGTTCAGGGTAGCCTAGGCTATATAACAAGATCCTGTCTAAAGAAAACCAAACCAAAGAATGTAGGCGTGGAGGAGGGAGAAACCTTAGAGCACTAAGCAATGAACCTTAAATTCACTTGCAGGTGCAAAGGTTCTTTGGGTAAGCAGGAGTATTCAGATTCACAATGAAAGGAAACAGTAACTTACCTGAAAGATAAGTTTATAATCTTTGAAAAGATCTATGTTTACAAGATCTTTCTTGAGATGTGATGGAAAAATTAAGACATCATAGCAATGCTGATCCACAGCAAAGACTTTATCATCGAGATGCAACACAGATTTGACTTTACTATAACCTTTTCTCCTCAAATTATAATAGACTTCTTCAGGGCTGTGTATATAAACAGAATTACAAATAGAATGCACAAGTGTTTAACATTGATACTCTTGTTCCTGCAACAATGAAAAATTTCGCTAAACAGATTGTATGTGATAAAACAGTTTTAGAGTTAAGAGATAATTGGAAACAGAAAAAGTAACATAGTAATATAATCTTGTCAATTTGGTAAATTGATGGTAAGAAGAAACTATGGCTTTAATCATGTCCCTGAATGTGACCTCACCCCTTAGAAAGTATTTATTACATTATCTTAAAAGAAGGGGTTTTGAAATATGAATGAAGAACTGGATTGAAATGCATACCTAATTTTACCAGTATTTATCCAGGCATAAAGAGGCAGAGTAGAAGCCCTTTGCTCCTGTTTCCGAACCGTCTCTGGTAGAATGTGGTAAATTGAAAGGGCATCATGCTTGATTCGACATCTTGCCAAAGCTGCAGCCAATTTTGTCTTAAAGCTAGAGACAGAAAACTCATTCTTGATGACCATGGACTTGAAACAAGACCATCAATTCTCCATTTGAAACATTTTTAAAGTCCCATTTAGAATTTTAACAAATTTGTCTGTCATCCCATTTCAAAGTTTTGAAGCCTAAAATAAAATTTCGTGATATTCAAAAATAGAAATAAAATAGCTCTGATCTTTTGCTCTATTTTTTGCTGCCATATAGTTACATATGCCTAAAATATTATAACACTGATGGTTAAAAGACAGCCATTCAAGGAATAAGTATAGAATTTAGAGTCAGACAAACCAGAAGTTGAATCCAGGTTCTATCACTTACCAACTGTGAGACCTGGGGACTGTCACTCACTCTCTTAGCTTAAGTTTTCCCATCTTTAAAGGAAGTCAGCTTACCTTAGTATTAATGTGCTTATTACCAATCATGTGTGCAAAATATTTATCACAGAACTAACACATAGCAGGCGGCCATTGTAGTCTGGTTAATATTATCAAGATGGCAATAGTATAGTGCTCATACCACTAAAATGATACCATTAATGATATCATCACTCTCTCTCTCTCAAACCCTGTGTAGTTCTGAATATCCCATGTCTCAAAGTCCCAAACAAAAGAAAAGAAAAACATTAGTACTACAAATTACATTATAATGAGTGTAAATGGGATTCTTTGTGGCTCTTCTAGAACTTTCTCAGTAGGAGTCCAGCTGAAATAAAGGAAAAATGAGAAACAGATGTCACAAAGGAGTGGGGTACAAATGGAGGTCCAAGTGGTATGTATTTAGAAAAAAGAGGACACTCTCCAAGGATTGCTATGTGGCCCAGCAATGTCGTTCGGAAGAACAACAGGATGCAGAGCTTGGTGACAAATGAACTGCACAGTTATCATTCAGCACCAAGTGCTAGACTCTGCTTCCTTTTCCTAATGCCATTCAAAGCCCCTAGTCTAAATTTCACACCCATTTACCAACATAAAAATCTTAATTTGTAAGTCTAAGAGAGGAAATTAGGAGCATCTGAGGAGGGAGGGTTTGGCAAATGGTAAACTTAGATGTGTCTAATTTTATGTCTAAATAATTATAGCGAGACACAAAAACAATAGCATATTAATTCACACTATGAATTATTGTTCTATAGTATACATATGTAGATTAAATATGCTTGATTACAGAATATTTTGATAGATTGTTTCCAAATAACAACTTAGTTCAAGTTAGTCATACATAATAAACGTCACTGAGTGAATTATTTGACTATTTTCTCCTATCACAGCTGCCCAGCTGGCTCCTTTACCTTTACATGAATTCCCATTACACACAGTCAGAGATTCCTTTCTTGGCATTATTACATAATTCTAAAGCTTAAATCTTAGATGAATTTCATTAGCCATACAACAGAATCCTTAAGCTTTATCATGATTTACTGGAGTATCAGTAGTTTAGCCTCAACCAACTCTTTCTGCCACAATTCCACCTCTCCCTTCCATAAATCTATCCTGTCATATATACAACTATTTGCAAGCCTATAATATGCATGTTGCCCATCCCTCTCTCCCCCTTTTTCTCTCCACCTCCTCCTTCTTCCCTCCTCTCTCCCCTCCTCCTTTCTCCCTCCTTTTCTCTTTCTCTCTGTCTATCTCTGCCTCTCTCTCTCTCTCTCTCTCTCTCTCTCTCTCTCTCTCTCTCTCTCTCTCTCCTGCCTGACCTCTGAGTAAAATTACCTGAGTTCAAACTTTTATTACACCAATTATTACCAGCATGCCTTTGGATGAGTTTCTAAGCTCTACAAGGAATTACTTTAGTAATTAGCATCTAATGAACAGGGTTGTTGCAAGGATACTTATGAAAATTTACTTAGAGTCAGACTAGTCAAGATAATATTATAATTAATATGTTTATCACATTTCTTCTATTAACTAAATACTGTGATGAGATCTGGGTCTATAAAGACTAAAAGATAATTTGGATTTGTAGCGGCCTCTGCCTGCAATCCTAGAACTAGAGAAGCAAACAGAATTGCTGCAAATTTGAAGCCAGCTTGGTCTATTTGGGAAGTTTTAAGCCAGCCAACACTACCTAATAAAACCCATTGCCACTACCATCACCATCCTCAAAACTGATTTTGATCCTTAAGTGATAGTTTGATGCTGAAAAGGACATAGAAACAATCCCAGTGTGCTATGATGATTGCTATGAGATACATAATAAAGAAGAGTAAATGTATTAAGAAGCAATCTATTGATATCAGTCCAAAAGGATTTCTAAGAAAGCCTGAGTTAATTAGTAAAAGAGCAACAATTTCCAGACTACAAAAGGAGAAAAGACTTTATGAGCAGCTTTCCAGACACAAAGTGGGAAAAGACACATAGTCAAAAGGCAAGGTGCCACAGAGATTCGGAGACATTAAACAGCATAGAGGGTGGTGAGAGACCTGGAGGGAATCACAACAGAACATGCATATTAAAGATAGAATGTTGCAACTTTCTGTGGAGAAAATAGAGGGATACTTAAAAGTGGAGAAATAGTAGCCAGGCTGCGTTGTTGTTGTTGTTGGTGGTGGTGGTGGTGGTGGTGGTGGTGGTGGTGCGCACTTTTATTCTCAGCACTTGGGAGGCAAATCTCTGTGAGATTGAAGCCAGCCTGGTCTACAGAGCGAGTTCTAGAACAGCCAGGAAAAAAGTCTATCTCAAAAAAAAAAAAAAAAAAAAAAAAAAAAAAAAAAGAAGAAGAAGAAAAAAAAGAAAAAAGTAGAGAAATACGAGCCAATACACTTGTTTTCTTACTGTATTTTACAGGCATTATTCTAAGTTCAAGAAACCAGAGAATGGGCCAGAAAGAAGTTGCTCCTAACATTGAGGTATCTTAAATGCCAATGACAAGGAGAGGCATCCTTCGCGCTGTGCTGTAATAAAAGTCCTCGCTATGGCAGTGGAGGGACATTTCCTGGGGTTAAATTCCAACTGAAGGAAAAGGGAAGAGTGGGAGCTGGAGCAGAGCAGAAACAAAGATGCACCTACAAAATACATGTAGGGCTTCTTGCGAGGCCATTTTTAAGTGTGTTCTCTTGGTTTTTCATGTTTCTTCTGGTTTTGCACTAGGGCTTGCCCATCTGGAATTAGAATGTGGCTTAATGGAACAGACAGAATTAGTCCTTATTTCAAGTAATCTTTTTTTCATGTAGTGGAGATATTATAGAGTTCCTAAAGAGACCGGTTGTAGAAGGGTTGAGATGATGTCTTCTTTTGTTAAATTGAGGTTCAGGGCACTGGGATCAATCCCAAGTTCTCCCCTATGAAGTTCTCTCCTCTGAAACTAGTCACTATACAGCAGTAAACCCATCACGACACTAGAACAATAGTTGACCACAAAGCAATTACTCCTTTGTACTAACTGTAATTTAAAAAAAAAAAATAGCTCAAGACAGAAAGATGGCATGCAATGAACTTCAAGCTGTGGGGTATATTATTATTATTATTATTATTATTATTATTATTATTATTATTATTATTATTGGAAAAGGATCAGAAAAAGGGGAAAGGGGGAAGGGGAGGTGGGGAGGCCAGCCTCCATGAACAGGAGCAGCAGGAAAAAGGCAAAGAGAGACAGACAGACAGACAGAAAGAGAGAGAGGTATGAGAGGTGGGCAGGGACCTTTAAAAGGGAACATAGTGGATGTGCACAGGTGGTGCTTTTAGTGGCAGCAGCTGAGGACGTATCTTGTCAGAACTCCAAAGGCAGGCCAGTAAAATGCCTAAATACTAACACCGATTGCTTTGGGGGGGGGGGGAAGGGATACAACAGTACTGTGTGTACTAAGTTATTATGGATATGAGTGGAAAGAAAGAGAGGAAAACACGATGGAACTAGTGATCAGTACTAGGTTGCTAGATGTGAAATAGAGGAGGGTAATGTACATTAATGGGGAAATGACAGTTTTTGTCTTGTTTTGTTTTAATGGAGTATAGGAGTTTTTGTTAATGGTAGACTGAAAAGAAAAGGTTATAGATATGCATGCAGATAACATTAAAAAGTCTCATTTATCTGGAGGCTGAGTCAAGAGACCCTGTGAAATAAATAGGGCAGCCTATGTTTTTTGGGAAGGCACTCCCCCTCTAGTGCCGGGATTAAAGGCATGTATGTGATCTGTTACTCTTTTCAACTAATCCAATCTCATGCATCCCTGGATGGCCTTGAATTCAGAGAGATTCCTCTAGCTCTTAATCATGAGTCCTGGGAAATGGTATGGGGAAAGGAGAAAAGGAGAGAAATTACTTAAGACATGAACAGTGGGGGGGGGTGGGGGAGCTGGCCTATTACATTGGCCTTGGCTGTTATATAGATGAAGAACAACTGTAATGGAGTTACTAGGTAAATATATAGAATATTGATACTGAGGTGCTTGATTATTAGACTTTTGTCTCACCATTGGGAGTTCCTCCATACTGTTCTAACCTCTGGACTATGCTCCATGTTGACTCTCTCCTATCACTTTTGCCCTTGGGTATTCCCAGAACCATGCTCATGTTAAATTCACTCATGGAATTAACAGCCATTTCCAGCAGCTGATGATAGCTGAGATGATCTCTACTCAACTGTCATTGCTGCAATTAAGCCAGGCAGGCTGGAGTGTGGTGGTTGGAGCACTGTTTTGGAGGTTGTGCATCTTTCCAGATGTCTTGAGTTCCCTTTTGGGGTACAGAGGGCATTCCTGGGACACTAGTCAATGGAAGCCCCTGCTATAAGCTCTTCGGTGACACAGCTTCTGTAGATTTCCTGGGAAAGGTCCCTAAGGCAGCCCTACTGGTGTCTATGGGAGCAACTGCAGTGGCTTTTGGTAGCATCTATTTATCTGATATGCAAGAAGTTCATGGGGAGCCATAAGCAAGTAGGTCATAGAAACAAGAGAAGCAGCTGTCAGCCTGATAAAATTCTATTCCCTTAGTTACCCTGTGATCAGCCACTTAGCCAATGCTTTCCAGTTCCAAAATGACCATCTTCTTCATACCTGGAGATAATCTTCTGCTTGAGAATGTAAGATCAGACCCTATAAAATAATCTGTTTCAGATTATTCTCTAGAAAGATTAAATGGTCAAAGAGGTTCCAAAGAAAAGCCAGAAAAAAAAATGAGAGGAAAAACTCATTTTTAAGACTTAAGGGACATTTTGGTAAATGACACACTCTGAGGCATGATGGGCAATGAGAAAGTTGGGGGAAATAAGAAAAAGAACATATCTGAGCAAATGTGAGTTACTTGCATAGTTAGCTTAATATTCACAAATCACCTAATGCACCTTGCCACTTAGAATAAAGAAAATTGTCACCGAAGTTATTTAAAACTGACCTCTAATTTCTGAATTTAGCCAGAATGGTGTTTCCCACTTCCTATATTTCAATTTGGAAAGTCCCTCTAGGCATGAGCCCTCTAGGCTCAACTTGCTCATTTTTGTCCTCTTGGGATCAAATTTTTGTGCTATGTCTTGTATAACAGCTTGGACCTTTACCTCATTCATTTTACTCATTTTCTAAGTCTGATTCTATTATTGCCACATGATCACATCTTAAAATATATCACTTTATCTGGACAGGGTGATACGCATCTAAAATCTCAACTTCAGAGAGCTGGAGGCAAAGGAGTCATGACTTCAAGGCCAGCCTCAGCTACACAGAAAATACAAGGCTGACCTGGGCTACACGAGACCTTGTCTCGAAGATAAACAAACAAACCTCACTCTCCTTGCCCTATGGTAAAGTAAGAATTATCAGCAGGGAATCCAGTGAAGAGTCTATTCATAGTGTATGGATTTGGATGGCAGTAGTACAAATGGGAATGAGTGCAGGTTCACATGTATTTTGGAACTGGAGTCATGGGATTTGATGCATTAGCTATCACAGAGTGTGGCAGGGGAAGGACAGGTGAGTTAAGACTAATATTTAGGTAGATGGCAGTGTCTTAATTGAGGCCGAACAGTTTGGAAGTCCTCTGACAGGAATTTAGAATTAGGCTACAGTTAGTCTAAAGAAAAGAAACTAGCCAGAAGTCTATACCATAAGCCCTCGGGCACTAGGGAGTAACAACAGGGCTTTCCTAACATGGGCTAGGGAAGTGGAGTAGAAGACAGAACTTCAAAGAGGGAATGAGACAGAAAGTAAGAGAGAAGTGGTATAAGGGGTACAGGACCTAAAGAAGCCAACCTCCTTCCATCTTTCTAATTCCTAATCCCATTTCTTCCCAGGCGAGAACTCCCTCTATCAGAACATTTTCCATTCTTTCTCCAGCTAATTGAGGACAGCTTCTTGAGAGTTAAGACCCTTAACTAAAATACTTTGGCTTTGCTGGGCATGGTGGTATAACACGAAATAAATAAAAGACCCAGAGACAGATACTAAGGTTCAAGCTGAAGATCAGGGAAGCAAAGCAGCTGACCACTAGCTCTCACTTCTAGCTCAGGCTGAAAGGGCTGATCCACACACGAGCTCTTCACCAAGTCTCAAACTATGGCCTGTCCTCAGAGTGGCTGGAGAACGAATGCCTCATACTCTACTGAAGACCCTGCTTCCATCTTTTATACCCCCTAGTGCTGAGATTAAAGGTGTGTGATCTGTTACTCTTTTAGACTGATGTGATCTTGCATATCCCTGGGTGGCCTTGAACTCAGGGAAATCCATCTATCTCTTAATCCTGAGTCCTAGGACTAAAAGTGTATACCACCACCTCCTAGCTTCTGGCTGCTGGGATTAAAGATGCATGCCTGGCTTCTATGGCTTGTGGCTGACTTTGCTTTCTGAATCCTCAGGCAAGCTTTAATAAATCATAAATAATATATCACTACACCACCAAGTGAAACATTGTCTCAAAACAACAAAAAACAACTATTAGGTTTTTGGTTTCAGCAATTGGCAATTGCCCTTAGCTGAGATTTACACTTATAGGCATGTTCAAAACAAAAGGAAAAAAAAATAAAAATAATGGCATGGATACACTCTGTAGGGCAAAGCCCCCACTGTTACTGCACCTCTCGCTAGGTTCCACCCCCAACGCTGCTGCATGAGAATTACATTTCCAACATCTGAATTCTGGAAACACCACCCAAACATAACACACAGCAACATTAACATACAGTTCACACTAACAGTGAGTCCACTTCTAACTCTATTATTAATCTGTTGTCTTTCCTAGCCACCCTTTGAGATGAGTACTTGTTACCTATATGACAGACTCCAGTTGATGCTTAGGATAAAGAGGAAACAAAAACACATCCTTTTGTTCTTAACTAGACAGATTTTTTTTTTCAGTTTGGCAGAACAGTGAATTTTTGTAAAGTATTGGAATTTTCTCATTTGTTATATGTTAGATTTTTTGTAAAGATGTCAATTAAGGAAACAAAAGTTAGCTGTTGGTATATGCTTATGCATATACTAAAACTATTAGAAATTTGCAATGATTTCCCACATGTCTATATTATACTTGATCATGGAATTCAACATTTTAAAACAATTTACTCTAAAATTAGATATTTAAACTATTAAAGACTGTTTGCAAAGGAACTCAAGACTTTGGTATCTTTTCATAAATGTTTGAGGCATAGGTATCTATAAATTATATTACATAAATGTTATAAATAAGAATGCTAACCTTGGTTTGGTATGAATGGCCTTTTTACCTGTTTAGAAGGCTCTCCACTTCTTGAACTTCTGATATAGACTCTTCATTATCGGGAAGGACACGGGGCTGAAATTTTCTATCTTGAAAATCGTACAGCATCACAATAATAAGACTGCTCAAATGATCTGGCTACCAAGGGGAAACACACATAAAGAAAACTAAAGAACCAATATCCAAAGGCTTGAGATGTAACTCAGGAGAAGAATGCTTGCCTAGCCTGAACGAAGCCTTGAGTTTGATCCTCTGAGGGTAGGATGAATATAGGTAAGAATAATAATCTGTATTTCATTACTTTTTATAATAGAACAAGGACATTTTCACTTTTACAGAGTATGGTTAGATTTAGGAATAGAGATGGTCTTTATTGTTGTTTGTTTGTTTTTTGAAGACTGGGTTTCTCTGTGCAGTCCTGGAAATCACTTTGTAGACCAGGCTGGCCTTGAACTCAGAGATCCATCTGTCTCTGCCTCCCTTGTGCTGGTATTAAAGGCGTGCACCACTAATGCCCAGCTAAGAGAAGGTCTTCAAAAGGGGAAAACAATCTAGTTTGAGAAGAAAAGCTTTTCCAAAAAGACAGTTTGGGGTATATGAGTCCAAATGTCAAGGTCAGGGTCAAAATGCAAATGTTAGAAATGGTAAAGAACATATATTTTAGAGAGGTTTCAACATTAGGTCAACTATTATGCAGATCTGAGGGAATTTTCATACTTTCTAAAAAGTAATAATGAGGCAGAATAATTCTAACAGTTGTTTACTTACTATTGTGGTACTTGGGAAGATATAGCTGTCTATTAACATAGTTTCCAAAATATCTTGATCTGTAAGACAAGGGAAAAGTCTATCATGCAAAATATTAAATCTTAAAGTAAAGACCTTTGAGTTAAATACACTTTAAGTAATGTTGGAAAATCAGTTTCACATCTAAAATGTACCTCAACTCCTCATAAAGACATAAATTACAGCAGCAAAGTAAAATATCCTCATGAATCCTAGGCTGTTATGGTTCAGGCTTTAGAGAGAAAGACTCATAGTCACAGCATTATCAATGTAGTCATAAGGAATTTTAACTTTTAATTTATGACCCTTGGAGCTGGAGAGATGGACTCAGTGGTTAAGAACACTAGCTGGTCTTCCAGAGGTCCCGAGTTCAATTCCCAGCAACATGATGGATCACAACCATCTGTAATGAGATCTGGTGCCCTCTTCTGGCCATCAGGTATACATGCAGACATAACTCTGTATACATAATAAATACATACATCTTTAAAATAATGAATAATTTATGACCCTTGAAAGATATTATAGAAGATATAACTACTAATGAGATGACTCAGCAGTTGAGAGCACTGGCTGCTCTTCCAGAGGCTTTCAGCACCCACATAGTGGCTTACAACTGACTGTAACTCCATTTGCAGGGGAATCTGGTACCCTCTTCTGAACTTCTATGACAGTGTTTGCACATGGTGCACAGCCATGTATGCAGGCAAAACAACCGTGTACATTAAAAGCTGAAAAATGTTAAACAGCCTTGCATGTTTCAGTTTTAAGTTTTGCTGATATGTTGTATTAGTTATTAAGTACTGTTAAAACTTTGAACGTTTGGGGGGGAGGGAGGAGAAAAAGAAGGGGAATGGGGAGGAGAACATGAGGGATCAGGAAGGTCGAGTTAGGGGAAGAACAGAGAAGGAGAGAAGGAAAAGAGATACCTTGACAGAGGAGCCGTTATGGGTTTAATGAGAAACCTGGCACTAGGGAAACCTCCAGGGACCCACAAAGATGATCCCAACTAAGAATCTAAGCGATAGTGGAGAGGCTACCTTAAATGCCCTTCCCCTATAATGAGATTGATGACTACCTTGAATGCCAAGCCTTCACCCAGTAGCTGATGGAAGCAGGAGCAGAGATTCACAGCTAAGCACCGAGCGGAACTTCTAGTATCCAGTTTCACGGATGGAGGAGTGATGAGAAATGGGGTCAAGGCCAGGCTGGAGAAACCCACAAAAACAGCTGACCTGAGCAAGTGGGAGCTCACAGACCCTAGTCTGACAGCTGGGGAACCAGCATAGGATGGAACCAGGCCCCTTCAACGTGGGTGCTAGTTGGGGGGGGGGGGCGCTGGGAGATCTATGGGGCCTCTGACAGTGGAACCAGTATTCATCCCTAATGAACAAATGAGCTTTGGGAGCACATTCCCTATGGAGGGATACTCTCTCAGCCTACATACATGGAGGAGGGCCTAGGTCCTACCCCAAATGATGTGACAGACTATGATGATCCCCTATGGGAGGCCTCACTCTCCCTGAGGAGTGTATGGGGGATGAGATGGAGGGTTGGGGATTGGTGGGGGGAATGGGAGGATAGGAGGGAGAGGGAACTGGAATTGGTATGTAAAATCTTTTTGTTTGTTTGTTTTGTTTATCGAGCCAGGGTTTCTTTGTGTTACAGCTCTGAATTTCCTGGAACTTACTCTGTAGACTGGCCTGTCCTCAAACTCACAGAGATCGACCTGCCTCTGCTTCTCAATTGCTAAGATTAAAGGTGTGTGCCGCCACCACCTAGCCTTATTAAATATTGTTAATATTTTATTCTGGATTTTCCATTTGTGAGGTTACTTTCTTTTAACACCCTTGTGGTGTCAATTAGAAGGGCTATTGCTAGCCTTATGAATGGGAAGTGTTTTATCTTTGTCTATACTTTTATATGGCTTTTATTAGACATCATTTTAACATAAGTATATGGTAAACCTCACTAGTGAGAACACAGGTGAACTATTTAACCTTAGACCCAAATGACAGGCACTGCTATGTGAGGGCCTTGACAAGGACAGCAGTCCAGACAGAGGGCAGAATATAGTCAATGCAGAGGTGTAGAATGTAGACAATGTAGAAACACTGTCACAGATTTTCAACCCTCCCCTGGATTCATGAGTGGTTTTGGTAGACTTAAACTATACACATCATATTATTCTGGTTAGGCAAATAGAAAGCAAGGCTTAGTCTTGGATTCCTTCAGCATTCATGAAAAACCTATTCTTTATAATGTAGACACTAAATTTCAGTCTTTCCTTGGAAAATAAGAAAATCGAAGAAGACTAATTTTGAAGTGGAGACTAAAATTTACATAGGAAATAGTTCAGTAAACATTATACATGTTTAAGCACCAGGTTTGGATACAAAAGAATACTCTTGTTTCATTTATAAAGAAAATAGAGTTCAGAGTTTTGCATCCTTAACACTTGCAACCCAATTCTTATCAATTTAATAATCACCCAGTATAAATCTCAGTTTTTGTCAGAGGAAACATCATTTCCATAATCATGAAGAACTTCTAACTTGAAAGCCATTGTAGGCTATGAAACTTTGACCACCGGAGTCAATATGAATCACAGGGGTAGAATGGAAGAAAACAGAACATGATTTTGCCAGTCTTATTTTCTAGGACTTTTGCCAAAACAGACCCCTTTGACTGCCTTTGGTGTTGTGCAGGTGTTAGCTTCATATGCCTAAGGTTATATGACATTCTTACTTTGAAATATCAGTGTAAATAATAGCTATACTTTATTCAGTGTATTCTATATTTTGGGCAGACAAAATTATTTAAATCATTTGAGCAAAATTAGAACAGTCACTAACAAACACAGAATAATTACACAGTCAAAATAAAACAGTGCAGGGCCACAGAGAACTAGATTATGGAGAGGTGTTGTTTCTCTTCCACCTAAATGAGATATTTCTCTTTTTATTACTATTGCTGCTCAATTTCTCCTTGAGCTTCCTCCATTTTCTTCACTTGTAAATGAGAACATTTTTCCCATTTATATCAAATGAAATTATGTACTTTGTGGGGAAAAAATATCTAAATATGTAAAAATTTATTACTGTGCCCTGACTCTTGGGTGATAGCTGAAGAGGTTGTTGGAGTTCTAGCTCACTTTCCTAATGAATCACAGTGCAATCAACAAGCATCTCAGAAGACTTCAGAAGACAAACTGCACATTATGAAGAACGATACAGCCCATGAGTAGCCAGCTCCTGGGAGGTTGCCTTTAAACCCCTGAAGTCACTTGGCTGGTCCAAAGTGTCTTGGTTTACCTTGGACCTTGAGCCACAGCCAAATTATCTTGACCTTTACAGAAGTCTGAGTTTGAGTAACCGGTCAGTCAACTACACGTTTAAGAATAAACACTTTAAAAAACAAATCTCAATAAAAACTACACAGCAAGACCAAGGTGAGGTCCCCTCACAAGCAATGCTCCCTCCTCACTATCAGACATCAAGCGCTATCATAAGATTTCCTTAGGAGCCAGGCAGTGGTAGTGCACGCCTTTGATCCCAGGACTCTCAGAGGCAGGAGGCACTCTGTGAGTTCGAGGCTAGCTTGGTCTATAGAGTGTGTTCCAGACAGCAGAGCTGTCTCAATAAATGAAAAAGAACTAAAAGAGAGGGAACTGGATTAACTTGGGGTTATTTGGCTAAAAGGGTCTAATGGTGGTCTTCATTTGAAGAAATCATACTGAGCCATAAGCTGCATCAGAGATTACTCATAGAACATAGTGTATCCATTATTATTTAGTTATAGCTTTAGTATAGTGTAGTTATTGTTTAAATTGGTATCTAGTGTACACATGTCATATAAATTTTAGGTGGTCAAGTTAGTGCTTTCCAAGTAATACCAAAGACAGCACGGAAGTGACTGTCTTCGGCAAGAGTCCTGGAAAAACAAATGAAATTTTCTTTCTAAGCTCTTGGAACCTAAGATGTTAAGAGTATGCATGAATGAAAACAGTTTCTACTTCATGACTGTAATTTTACGACTGTTACAAACTGTACTATAAACATCTGATATGCAACTCTTGTAGAAGGGTTTTGACCCCAGAAGAGATCACAACCCACAGGGAGCTACTGCTTTAGACATTACATTTTCTTCTCTGTGATGACAAATTCTGGGCTTCAGAGTTGTACTGCATCATATTTGCAGACAAGATATATTTATGTGTAATTAATCAATAGGAGCATTTTAATTTACATAACTTTTTTTTTTAACTTTGTCTTCTCTATAAGGCCTTCTGGAACTAAAAAAATCATTAAAAATGCTACTGGCCACTTCCAAGTGACCTTTTGGTCACTCACTCACTCACTCATCATCTGAGCCACACTATTGATGTTCCCAATGTTTCTAAACCATCTCTCTGAACCTAAATTTAGTTTTACAAGCCAATATAAAGTTTATAGTAGCAATTAGTACAAAACACAACTCCAGGGGACCAAAGACATGGCTCAGCTGTTAAGAGCACTTGTTGCCCTTCCAAAGGATCTTGGCTCTGTTACCAGCACCCACCTAACGACCATCTCTAAGTTCAGTTCCAGGGCATCTGTACTGTACACTTGTGGTGCCCCTCATTTAGGCAAAACACCCACATGCATAAAATAAAAATAAATCTACAAAAGACATCTCCATATCCTTTGACAGCTCCTCCTCCTAGAAGCAGTATCTGGTTGTGTCCCACCTACAAGTTACCCTCACACTCCAAGTTAACTGCCATGAAGGGATTCTGGAAACTGGAGTCTAGCACTTTGGAGACAAACTAGAAAGGAGAATTCTACTTAAATTTGGCATTCCAAATTAAAGCTATTGGCTAAGAGTTGGATAATCTTGGTTAGGTTGACATAATTGTAATTTTCGCTTTTTGAAGCCTGTATTTTCTTCTCACCCAGTCTCCCTTATATTTGTGATGTCTCATGAACTTAAAATACAAGATGTGAATACAAGAACTTAGAGAAGCAGCAGGCACATGGTGCACGCCTTTAATCCCAGCACTCTGGAGGTACAAGCAGGTGGATCTCGGAGAGCTTGAGGCCAGCCTGGTCTACAGAGTGAGTTCTAGGACAGCCTGAGCCACATGGGGAAACCCTGTCTGAGAAGAGAGAGATGGAGAGGGGGGAGGAGATGAAGAGAGAGAGGGAGGAAGCCTAGCTTTGTTGTTTGTTCTTTTCTTTTGGCTTTTGAGAAGGGTCTGGCTCTCTAGCACATCCTAGCTCGGAACTCCAAATCCTCCGGGCTCAGCAGCTGGAATTGCAGGCCTGCACAACCATGCTGTCTCCTGTTCATTTTAACGACTGCATAACTATCCTTGTCTAAGGACAAGATTGGCAAAACTCCACTGGTTTCACTAGGACTGTTAATTGGCCAAACATATATATATATATATATGTGTGTGTGTGTGTGTGTGTGTGTGTGTAAAACCAAAACAAAATTTTGTATGCTTGAGGGGCTAGGCTGCATTCTGCATTCTAGAAATTTCCTTGCTTTCTATCCAACAACCTTTAACCACCTTTATCTTTTCCTTCCTTCCTTCCTTCCCTCCTTTCTTTCTTTCTTTCTTTCTTTCTTTCTTTCTTTCTTTCTTTCTTTCTTTCTTTTTATGAAACAGACTCTCACCCTGTGGCCCAGGCCGGCCTTGAACTGACATTAGCCACCATGCCTGGCTTTGCTATTTTCTTTTAGCGCTGACCTTCAAGACTGGTAGTACTCACACTTCAGGGCACTGAAAGCCAGCTCATAGGACAAGCGCTGGAATGATTCATCCTCGGATTGGGACCAGGATGGCAGGGGTTGATTTCCGTACTTTATTATGACTCTGTCTGGTGACTTTTCGATTCGAATACCCTGAAAAATGTTCGCTGCCATAACATACACGGAGTCCGGGTAGCTAGATTTTTCCGGGACAGCGGCTGAAGATTTTCTCCTGGCTACTACATCCCCTGACATCTCCAGGGAAGCGAGTTGGGAGATCTCCTCCATATTTTCTTGGTTAAAAAACTCCAGTTCACTTTTGGGGTCCAGGATGTTTGCCCCTGATGTCATGACTCAAAGTTCAAGTACAATTCAGATGGTCCAGGAGACTGCTGTCCATGTAGTCCTAAGCATTGTCTCTGCGGAAAGAAAAGGTTGTCTCAATGAACGACTTTTCTGCAGCACCTCTCTTGGCGGTTCCCCTTCTACTGACCTTAGAAACGAGGTGTGGCATGTACTAGCCCAAAATGAACACCCCATACTTTCAACTGCAAGGAAAATTTGCACTCGAGGATAGGAAAGCCGGCTGAAGAACTGGCTCCAAGAAGAGCGAATTCTGCCATAGCCCGCTGGGAACAGACCCCCACAAGTGTCCTAAGGTCGCCCTGGCCCAGCATCATCAGCATCCAGGGGATTGAGCTCCCTGTCACCTCCTCCGCGAATCCGCCCTTGTCTGGGGGTGGGATGTTTCCCGGGGCTGGCAGCTGCTGCACTTGGGGCGCTGCAGGAGGTCACAGGCCCTCGGGAGCCCCGGGAGGCGGCGGCCCGCGGAGGCCGTTTGTTTCTAGTGCAGCCACACCACCCGCCGGGTTCGGGCAGCGGGGACGCTCGCTGGCTCGCTCGCCTGCTCGAGGGAGCCGCTGCTCCTCCGGTGGTCCTCGCGCTCCGGGTCTCTCAGGGGGACACCCGTGATGTCCTCCTCGGGGTCACACCCTCCACTCTAGGGGACCCAAGGTGGGGGTCACTCCTCCGGGCCACGCCCTTACTTAAGGTCCCTGAAAGGGGACCCCTTTTCTAGGCCGTGCTCTGGGTCCCCGAGTGGACGCTTCTCGAGGCCGCACCTGAGGTCGCCTTAGGGGTTTTGGCAGCAGAGATAGAGGAGCTGGGTTCCCACTGGGTTCAGCAGCGGTTCCCAGAGGCGTTGGCCCGCCAGCAGGACCCGGATCCCCATGGCAACCCGGAGGGGCGGGGTGCTGCGCTCCAGCCCCCCCCCCCCAGGAATTTGGCAGAAGTGACTCTCACCAGTCGGTGATACCCAGTTCAGTCCCTCTTGGAAGCTCAGGCCAGGGTCCCTGAGCACTCTGGCTTATGTCCTTAAACTCTTAGAGATACTTTAAAGTATCTCTGGTGTACTTCCATGGTTTAATTCTCAGACACCTGAGATCCTCATTAAAATGCGGATCTCTGGACCCATCATCAAGCATTCTGTCTGGGCATGGGATTTTGACTTTTTTTTTTTTTTTTTTTTCCTGTAACACTTTTACAAGAAGTAATCCCAATGCAATTAGCCCAAAGGCCACAGCGTGGAACACTCTAGTGTAGTTATTCCATCAATCTAGTTTATCTAGATTGATGATCCCTCTTGCTTGGCATGCTGGTAATGATAGGCTGTTTGAATCTTCCATCCTGCCATGCACTTGCCAGGCAACATACGGTAAATTCCAAACCTTTGAGAAAGGCAAGGTCTTCTGGTAGATGGCCTTTGTTACTTGCTATCTTTAATTGCTTAGCATCTTCAAGCTTGCCTGAACAGTGTGTGTGTGTGTGTGTGTGTGTGTGTGTGTGTGTGTGTGACACAACCTATTGCTTTCTTCTTCCCCTCCCCTTCCTCTTTCTTTCTTCTACCCAACTCCAAACTCAGATCCTGATTCTTCTGTCTCAACCTCCCCAGTGCTGGGATCACAGACTGGCAATCCCATAAGGCTGCTTTTCTGCCTTAAAAAGTCTCTCCTTTTGTCTATCTGGTAAACTATAAAATCTTTGCCTTTTCTGACATTTGCCTTTGTTGGAATGTAAATTTAGTTGCTGAGACAGAGATCCAAAATCACAGTGAGCTTAAACATAACAGCACTTGGGAGGCAGAGGCAAGCAAATCTCTATGAGCCCAGCCTGCTGTATGTAGGGAGTTCCAGGGCAACCCAGACTACACAGTAAGACCCCATCATAACCCTTCTTCTTGTCTTCCTCATCCTATTAGTCTAATGACTCTTCTGCACAAAGTTATCAGGGAGTCAGGCTCCTCCTGGGGGTTTCATCTTAAGTAATATGTCTTTGTCAAGTTAGTGTAAGTGGCTCATCCCATGCCCATTTTAGACAGTGATAAAGGGAGGAAGGAGGCATGCCCAGGCCTTTCAAGGACAGGATTAGAAAGGTGCACTCATCACCTTTGCTTGATTTCCATTGGACAGAATTAGTCACATAGCATGTTTAATAACAAAGGTTGGGAAATGTGTCCAACTCAAGGGAGAATTGGTAAGGAAAGAAAAGTACCATTTTCTGTTACATAGCTCTTCCCCCAACTTGAACAAGTCTATATTACATCTTACTGTGTGCCTGTCATTGTGTTCAGCACTGGAAGCCACAGGTAAGTATACAGGCACAACTGGGATCTCCCATCACAAAGTGTTGTTTTGGCACTCTTTAGTGTTTATTATGGACATCTGTATATACACCTATATTGACTTTCCTCCCTCTTTTCTAGATACAAAGCAAAACTCTAAAATAGTTTCCCTTTGTTTTCATTTTATTATATACCTTTTTATTCTAAAATGCTAGCAAAATGCTATTGTCACAGAAGATTATAAATATGAAAGGTGTCTGGAGGTCATAATTTATTGTGTATCACACTGCACAGTGAAATCCGTAGGGATTGCAAAATAATAATAGATAGCTATAAACTTTAAAGTATAACTTTCAGGATATAATTTGAGGAACTTCTTTTTTATATAGTAGTTTGTTGTGTGACTCTTTGCTACACTGAAAATGAGATTGAATAAGAAAATCCATATTCCCTGAGTAGAACTTAGGCAAGAAACTGTGTTAGTAAATTCATAGTTACTAGTTATTTTAATCATGTGTATAAATGATTATAATCCTGTTTCCTTAGCTCTTACTTCTGGTTTAGGGCCTCATTGTGGACTTGCTGTATTGGAAGTGAAGGCTACAGAAAAACATATTAAATTTCAGTGTACAGTGCAAACAAGTAGCCATAGTGATAAGTCTGTGGAATCAATTGTTGTGAAAATTGGGTAATAAAAATAGGTAGTCTTTGTCTAAGTCACACTCTGTAACATAATCAGAACATTAAAGTGAAGATTGTATAGAATTTAAAATTAGATACCTAGCACTTTCTCCCTGCCAAAGGAATTTAAAAGAATGGTTCCCCTCAGGAGGTAGAATATTTGTAATATTTCTAAGTTAATATTCCTTACATTTGACTTAGAGTACCGGTATAATTTAGCCATGTAATATTGATTTACATGCTTAAACTTAGCCTGGGCATAGAAAACTATGCTCATTATAGAAATGCAAAAAAGGAATATGAAGTGTAAAGGGTTTAAATGGGTCATCTTAAACATCGGGCCTCAATATATTACTGAATCTTGAAAGCAGAGTTATTGATTTTTTTGCTTTTGTTTTGAGACAGGGTATCACTGTGTAGCTCCAGCTGGGCTGGAAGTCACAGAGATCATCCTACCCTGCCTCCCTCGTGCTGAGCTGAAGGTGGTGCCACCGTGCCCAGCGTGGGGTTGATTTTCATTGTAGCACTTTAGTCCTCACTTTCTTTTTGGATTTCCAACTGATTTTTGTTGTTGTTGGTTTTTTTTTTTTTTTTTTTTTTTTTGAGACAGGGTTTCTCTGTTCAATAGCTCTGGCTGTCCTAGAACTTGTTCTGAGGACCAGGCTGGCCTCAAACTGACAGAGATCTCACTGCCCCTACCTCCCAAGCGCTAGGATTAAAGGCAGGCACCACCCTACCTGGCTCTAAAGGCATCCAAATCCAAATTTGCATGGATTAAGGGGGAAGAGATACCATGGAGCACAGATGTATGGAATAGTTATCAATGAATTGTGTAATTACATTAGAACCACAACGAACTGGTACAGAGAATGCCCTGTACAAAACCCAATAGATTCAAAATGAAGAGTTCCTTTAGCAAGGATAATTGTGGCAAGATTGTACTTGAATAAATAATTTCACTGGGAGCACTGCTTATGTATAGTTTCCTTTTATCCCTTTCTTTTATTTTAAGACAGGGTTTAATGTAGCTTAGGCTGGCCTTGAACTTGTTGTCTTGCTAAGGAGAACCTTGAACTTCTAACCCTCCTGCCTTCATCTTCCCAGGTGCTGGGATTACAGGAGTGTCACTGTACCTAGTTGATACTGAACCCAGCCCTTTATTCTTGCTAGACAAGCATTCTACCAACTGAGTTTATCCCACCGGTGTGTTTTGGTTTTTAAAAAAAACCAAAGTAGTCTAGCATCTACATTTCATTCACTTTATGAAAAAGGTAAGATATGATTTTTATTATGAACCTTGCCCTAATATTCAGCATATAGTCCAATGCATATAGTATTCCCATGTGAAATGTCATATCTTATTATACATTGTCCTATGATTTAAATGCTTTTATAACTAAAGAATGGAAATATGAAAAACTAAGTTAGTGTTTATTTCTCACGTGAATTTTAAGTTTACAGATCATGTGACTGAATAAAGAAGATAAGATACAGAAAAAGGAAAAACAAAACAAAGCAAAAGGAAGACATGATACTCCCACACACATACATGTACAATGGAATGTGACCAGAACAAATGAAACCCTTCTATTTGCACCAAAATGGACAGAATGATATATATATATATATATATATATATGTGTGTGTGTGTGTGTGTGTGTGTGTGTGTGTGTGTGTATACACATATATATTTAAGTGAAATGAGGCAAGCACAGAAAAACAAATACTGAATATTTTATCTTATGTTTGAAGCTAAAAAAAATGTTGATTTCAGAGTATAAAAGAGTATAATAAAAAAAAAAGAGTAGAATAGTGATTATGAGAGGTTGAGAACAGTATGATAAAGAGGAGGTAGAAGTCAGGTGACAGGCACCAAAGGATAGTTGGGCACAACAGAGTGATTACACTACATAATAAGCTAATGTGTGATGGGAGATGTCATTCTGTAAATATGTTTCTCTTATTGGTTAATAAATAAAGCATTGTTGGCCAATAGGAAAGCAAGATAGGCAGGACTAGGAGACAAGGAGGATTCGAGGAAGTAGTAGGGAAGAGTCAACATGTAGAGACTGGAGAGAACAGAAGTCCAGGCCCTCTCTCCGGTAAGATAAGACCACATGGAAATACTTAGATTAATAGAAACAAATTAATATATAAGGCAGAACTAGACAGTAAAAAATGCTAGTAACAGGCCAACAGAATTATATCTAATACAGCGTCTCTGTGTGTTATTTGGGGCTGGCTCAGCTCTGGGGACAGAGTGTGACCAGGCTGGCAGAAAAACCTGCTCATAACAAGTGTGTATCCTAGAAGAAGTAGGAAGAGGAGCTCTAAGGCTCCAAACATAAGTGATAAAAACAAGTCCTAATTACTCTGGTTTGGCCATTACACATTATATACATATATTGAAACATCAGGGAAACATTAGGAAGGTAAGGGTTCCGGAGTGTAGAGGGACAAGAGAGGGTAGTGGAGGCTGCACGATCACAATACACTATACACACATTTTAAAATAAAAGAAATATATTGTGCTCCATAAATATGTATCATTATACCATGTTAGTGAAAACAAAAGATGAAGGATCATGAAGAATGATATGGAGTTCTGGGAAGGCATATTAATATTTTTACATAACTAGATA